CAAAGAAATGTAATGGAAGTTTGGCGATTGAGAAGCGACTGATACAACTTCTGAAGGCAGAAGAGGGGGTAATGAGGAACCCATCAAGGGCCGGCGAAATGGGCTGACAAAATACCCTGAAGAGAGTGAAAAATTTTTGCCGAAAACTGTAACAAGGTGAAAAGGACAACTCGTTAAATAACGATCAAAAATCTGAAGGAACAAACTAAGTCAACATAGTTTCAGATCTGTGGCTGAACGAGGGGCGTTATTCAAGAAAACAGGTGGAAGCAGGGCGGGGTTATAGAGGAGCCAGTGGCGAAGGAAGTAAAGGATTAACCAAGATATTAACATACCTGTTTTCATGTTGTTTGAAGGAAATGAAAATTTCAGACTAATGGACTTTCGCATCGAGGATATTACTCTAGGAAAGGATAGGAAAAGAAGATAATGCATCTGGAGGACCACAGGATGAACAATATGTTACGAGTCATCTAGGAGATTTTCAAGAAAGAACTCAAGACTGACATATGTCATGAAAAGTTAGAGTGTGTACTGTCAAATGAACAAACAGAGGTGGATTAAGTGCAATCCGTCATCTTCATATGGGGGTATCACTAACAGATGTTTTAAACAAGCAGTAAATATTAGCTTCATATGTGCCTAGTGCTCTCACTTTTACATCTCTTTCCCTCTACGCCCGAATTTTTCGAAGAGTCAGGGAATCGAGAGAAAAAACACTAAGACCTGATAACCATAATACACAAGAGCGATAAAAAATTCAAAATCATCAAGACCTTATAATAAGGTGATTAAACATCCCCTAAAATATTCACTGCAGCCCTGGAAGAGATTTCAAAAACACTCAATTAAATAATGAGTAGCTGTGCCCACCATTGAAGCAATCTAAGCTCTGCCAACAATATTCTGATCCTTTCAAGGTTATTGGAAGAACTCAGAAGAAGAACGCAACCGTTGAACGACGCCAACATCAAGGCACATCTGAGAATGAAAAAAAGAGGACTCAGTTCAGGAATAACAAATACGTAGCCTCATGACCTGCTCAACTTCATTGTCTAAAATTTGAATAGGTATAAAACGACTCCTGTCTGAGACAGTTGATCTCTACAACGAAGAACCGGCTCTACAAAATCAACAGAGGAATAAAAATGGCTTATGCACAAAAATATACTGCCACTTTATGGGTCTAATAGCAAACTACCAGTTTTCCATATCGTCGGTAAGAAAACAACATTTTCTGTTGTTACCGGTTTTACACAGCGTAGGCGCATCGCCCTATTGCTTCAAGCGGCCTGAAGGGTCATCTAAGCAGACCACGGTTACATCGGTAGTGCGTGGATGGAACAAAATCCCGTTCGGACAGCTGCAAATCTGCCGCTCTCAGTTCGCATATTTATACATGAAAAGATACACCGATCTTACGGGCTTACTATCAAACTGCAAGGCAAAAAATGGCACTGGAACTTTTGGAAGATTGAAGAAGATTCTATCTAGGAAACTGCCCTTGTGTTTGAAATGGGAGGCTTTCGATCGGCGTGTGTTCCCAGGGCTAGTGTATGGATACAAGACATGGGCCTTATGCTGGAAGCTACTCATTAACTGAAAGCTGCGTAAACAGCATGGAAAGATGCATGGAAGGAGCAAATGAGAGTCTGCGATGTCATTGCCTGAGTGAAGAAGCTAAAGTGGCAATGTAAGAATGACCGACAGTCGTTTGACCACACAAACGTTAGACTTGGCTTCTAGAGGGAGTAAACGGCCAGTAGAAAGATTTTTTGATAGATGACAGAATGGGCTGAAACAGTTCACTAGATCACACTCGATGACAATGGCAGATAAAATAAGTTTATGGCAGAGTCTTGGAAGAACCTTTATCCAGCAGAGGATCGACAGAGGCTGATGTTGATGATCATCATTAGCACAGTCACGGCTTTGCACCCTCGCTTTAACTTGCCCTTGGTTTTCTGAACTGTGAATTGTGCAGAACTCAAAAGCTTTTTTCTACTTGAGTCAAATTTATTACCGCAGTAGGCAGGCTGCGATTGCCCATTCTGATAGTTCTTCCGCCACCGAATCGAGTTCAGTGCAATGTACTTCGAAAAGTATCACATCATTACTATTGCAGGTTCTGTATACTCATGCTGTTCTGAGGTTATACTATGTTGCTTCGTGTCATTCGACTGAAGTGCTATTTCGGTTGAAACTTTTTATTTTGCATTTTGTTCCGTCTTTTGTGGTTGTGGCTTTTCCTCAAATTATTCCTATTTCTACAAGCTGTGTTGCTTGGGTAAATGAATTTAGTTGCCTTTCTCACAACGACTCAAATTCTTCTTCATCTTTTGATTATGATTATCAGTTTTGCAAATTACGGTATAACGTATCCTCAGGTGATAGTACGGTCGACAACACAACTTACAGTTTCGCATTGCTTATCACTCTTTTCCGTGCGCGTCGTTACTCTGTTCTGATGATACCGATTTCTGATATCTTCGAGTTCACAGTCGTACCATTCACCCTCATATTTTGCTGCAGAGGTACAGCCTCACACTGTTATTTTATCAAAGCTGTCCCCGTCCGATTTCGTTTCTGTACTACCTTCATAAAGCATCACCGTTCCTCTTGACTATGTTTCTGAAGAGTAGGCGCTGAGTGCGAAGCTATTGTATTGTAAGAAAAGGTAAAGTAATCCATGTAACCGTTGGAACTCGGTCCTCATTACACTTGCATGACTGGATCATTTCTGGTGTTCTTTATCAATGTAGTTAATGCTGGGACTGACACTGACTTCATTTACATGGCATCACTCAGGAGTGCATTATTTTAGAGGCCAAGTCAACAACAGCAGTGTATTAAACATCGCATTCAGTCTCCTGTTTCCTTCCCACAGGGTAATACTCATTTTTGAACCTGAGATGGAAGAGAGGCTAGGGACTCCGATCGGAACCTCTCTGTCACCGACGCTTTATCGACTCAGCAACCCAGATGTGAAGCAACACGGGGTAAATATCGTGCTCAAGGGTATGCGCGGTCAGGACAAAGACTGTTCCTCAATCGTCGGAATCAAACCCAGCACCTCCGGAGTTCGAAGCCGACATCTTAGGGATTTCACCACCATGTCGCTTGTACTGTACGAACTACTCGTGGGTTTTCGCGATCATTTAAAGCAATTGGTCATAGAGGTTCATAATGCTATATAAAATTTTCTTTGACATTTTTATGACAACACTTTAACGTGTGACAGACAAATAGCAAAGGCATGGACAGTCTTGAGGTGCTGCTGTCTTGTCTCTGTTGCAGCAATTTATCATATGCTATCAATTCAGGTAAAGGTAACTATTTTTCTTATATTTAAATTAAGTTTCATTTGCCTTCACATTCCAGCTACCATCAAGCTGGGTGTGTCTTATTGAAAATTTACCCCATGTTCTATCAAAATATGTACT